TACAGTGTAAAGACTACAATGTTCTTTTATTTCTGATCAGTTGACTGTTCAATTGTAAGCAGTGCTTTGATGAGAATCTGGGAGGCAGGAGATGAGGCAAGATGAAAGAAATCATAATACCATTTTAGTGCCCACATTTCATGATACTTCTCTAGATAATACCAGATTATATATAGATCCACTCATGAGCTTGAAACTTGATTCAAATGTGTCAGTCTATGTTAAGAGGAAAGGTAATGGCAATGAATTTGACTGTATGGAAATTACTGTTTTTGTTTTTGTTTTGTTTTTGTTTTTCTGGAGAAGATGGAGTTACTCTTTATAACTAACTCAACTTTCATTTGCTTTTGAAGCTTTCTCAAACCATGAAGACACAGGACCACATAACTAGCAGTAAAGATGAAACAGTTGTTTCTCTTTTCATTTCCTGTTTGGAATTTTGATGGATGTAGATTTGGAGTGCCAGAGGGAGACAGCAATGTAGTCTTAGATCTGTATTGGCTGTTGTTGACTTGTGTTGTACTTTTTGTTGTTTTTAAACTTCTGATATGATGCTACTTAGCCTTTAAGACATCATGCATAGGGCTATTTGCTGCTGCTCTGGAGAAAGCTGATTCTTTGACCCTTGATACTCTACCAGCTTATGTACAGTCCTCATTCTTGTCAGTAATGCTGTACTGGCAGCTGTTGCGCTACTGTCTGGCAAGTCACCGGACACAGCTGCTTCCTCTTCCCTCATAGGTAATGAGCATATGGGTAGGGTCAACACATCTTGTCATGTTTGATGCTAAGTGGATATATTAAACTGGCTCTGAGTTTTAAGACCTGGTGGTTATTTTGTAAATATGTGGGGGAAATGTGAATAATTTTAGATTAAGCTGTGGATTAACAAAAGAAATGTTGACTAGTTTATAGCTCATCTCTGACATTGCTTGATCTTGCTGTTTTATCTCTAAAGTAGAAGTAGTATAGGGTTTGTATAACATGCATAGAGGTTCAGTCTCCTGTACTGTATACACAGACATACACAGACACTCACAAACATACAAACAACAAATAACAGGCATAAGGATGACTGAGTCCAGAGAGAGAGAGACGTAGAAAAGCCCTGAGGTGTATGCAGGCCTAGCATGTTTCAGGAGCTACAAAGAAACCAGGGTAGCCAAATTGGCATGATGGAAGAGTGGACAACTGCAGAAAAGCCAGGACAAAAGGTAATGACCACTTCAACTAGGGCCTTGTAGATTCTGCCACAAATCAGGCATGCATGGAAATCAACTATGCCTGCAAGTATGAAGGAATACTACACTATTTTTAACTACCTTTTTTCTTTTCTTTTTTTTTTTTTTTTTTTTTTTTTTACATTTTGAACATTGGCGGGAGTGGAGTGGGATTCATGCATGCCATTCTTTGTGTGTAGAGGTCAGAGAACAGTTGTAGAAGTTGGTTGTCTTCTTCTGCTATGTGGATTCTAGGGATGTACTCTGGTCACCAGACTTGGTGGCAGGCTCCATTACCCACGGGCAGGCCTTCCATTTTTAAATGGATTGTCTATACACTGGGGTGAGGATTGGAGGGTAAGACTGTGAGAGCTTATGAGTCTAGGGTTTCTTTAGGACTTATATATTCAGCTTTGAGAACAATAAAGAAGCAGTGGATCCTGGGCTAATGGGAAGATTTTGTTATTATATGAATTCCAACAGTAAAAGCATGACAAAACTGATGCTTGAGGCTTGTCAAACCATTTCTTGTTGCCACTTCATATCATTAGATACCTTTTTGCTTTTGGAAATTAGGATTTCTAACTAGATGTCTTAACTGGAGGGAAATGCCTGTGTTGTTTACTGTGTTTCATTGGAAGTATTAAAATATTAGTCTATCTTAAAGTCAGTCTATTATTACTGCTGTGCTTTACATACTTTATATACATATGGAGTAGAATGTGATAGCAAGATGGTTCTTTTTTAAAAAAATTATTTTCCATTTATCAATATTTTGTCTGTATGTATGTCTGTGCCTGTGGAAGCCAGAAGAGGGTGTTGAGCCCCCTAGAACTAGAGTTGCAGATGGTTGTGAGCCACCACATGGGTGCTGAAAATTGAACCCAGGTCTTCTAGAAGAGCAAGCAAGTGCTCATAACCACCAAACCAACTCTCTAGCGACAATGGTGAGATATTTTAACCTCTGGGTATTAGAATGAGTGCAGTTTTTAGGCTGAATTCTATTTTGCTGGACTAAGATATGCTTTACATAATTTACTTGGTGACTCTTTCATAGGGTGGAAAATTTGATCAGTATGGTAATCCTCTTCAAATTATGATCTAAAGCCTGCAAGTTAGAAGAATGCCTTTGTTCACTGCATTGCTCAACCCAAAGCAAACAGCCCACTTTTGGAAGATGGTCTTTATCAAAGATGTGGGACAGGAGATGTTCTTAGCTAAGGTTTGCAGGGTTCGTCCTTGTACATGTTTTAGATTTAACTGTGGCATTTTCTAAACTCTTATTGTATGACAACCTAGTAAAGTTGATTGAAATATTATATGGCCATGTTGTGATTTCTCTGTGTCTCTTTCGTTTCCTTGATGGGTTTGAGTTTTACAAATAGCCGTAAGACAGTTACTGGGTATCACGATTATATTTAGAACAAAATACAACTCTAGCAACTTAGACTCCTCTTCTGAATTGTTCTTCACTTTGAAAGAACTCAAAGAGCTGTGGAATAAGCTGTCAAAGGTGTTACATTTTCACAATTCTGAGTACTTCAGAAGTTTGTGCTAACTCAACATTACTCATTTATCTAAAAGTCAGCACCCTAGGAAAGAATTAATCCGCTTTTACTTCATTGTTCAATCTGAATCAATATACTTAGAAGTTGATTAAATATTTTTCTTCTGACCACGGGAAAGTCTGTCCAAATCCTTAAGTAATTACATTCTTAATGCAAACATCTCTCATTTTCTTTCAGTAGGGAACAGGCAGGGCAGCTTTCACATCCCTGTGGTTCTCCATTGTGGGATAGTGTCTCTGAATTGAACTTTAATCATTTCAGTCACATACCTCTCAACCAGCTTAGTTTAGAAAGCACAGTATTTCACAGTAGTTTATGCCGTAAAACTGCATTCTTTGATGGCTTGAGAAGACTATTTGAAGTATTGAAAAAAGCCTATACTTTGGAGAATAGTGTTTAATGAAATTGACAGACTTGATTTCAAATGATACCAAGAAGTTAAATCTTTTAGTGAGTTAAATGTTTAAAGAATCAAAAGTAAATGTAGAATTTCTCTTATGAGCAAATAGGATCTTTGAGAACATTGAGAAACCTAGGCTCTTTGAGTTTGTATCCCTGTAATGATGTAAAGTATATAATTTACATATGCCTCACCTTCGAGTGACTGACACTCCAGTGGATTGATTCCAGTTAGCTCCTGTTCCTGGTGTTTGTTCATGTATTAGTGTGTATTTATGGAATCTGTCTAAGGGGAAAGTCCTTTGTTTAACTTCAGGATTCACAGATGAGGGCTAGTTACCCTAACTCCAAATGCTGCCTTAATTTCAGCCTCAAGTTAGTAAGAGGATCAGTTGGACAGTTGGGGTTTTAGTTGTTACAGTAACATATGTTTCTCACTAGATTTTCTTGGGGGTTCTCTCATGTTCTGTCACTGCATAAAGACATGTTCTTCCAGATTTATTAGTTTTAAATTCGTGCCAATCATTTTTATACAAAATCGAGAACTCTAGAATAACTTTAAGCAAAATGGAGATTCTACAAGTAGAGTGATACAAGATTAGATTTATCAGAGAGTAAAATATAACATAAAGATTTAATATTGAAAACTGTGGCTCTGACACATGGCAATCTTAGAACTCATTATATATAGGAATTTAGGAAGAGATACTTAATTACGAGGGGAAGCAAAGAGTGTTCAAAAAATCATGTTGAGGCTATTGAGTAAATAAAAGAGAAATGTTGGATCTTTCCATATACTAAAATAATTTCTTACATTGGATTATAAAAATTTTACATATCTGTACTAAATTTTAACCTGTATATCAAATTTGAATTTTAATATTCAGAGAAAAGACATTTCAAATTTTGAATAAGTTCAAAGAAAATGAAAGCTTTGTTTTTTTCTGAAAAAATTCACTAATACTTTCTTATAGTTCTTTCCTTCCTTCCTTCCTTCCTTCCTTCCTTCCTTCCTTCCTTCCTTCCTTCCTTCCTTCCTTTCTTTCTTTCTTTCTTTCTTTCTTTCTTTCTTTCTTTCTTTCTTTTCTGGTTTTTCGAGACAGGGTTTCTCTGTATAGCCCTGGCTGTCCTAGAACTCACTCTGTAGACCAGGCTGTCCTTGAACTCAGAAATCTGCCTGCCTCTGCCTCTGAGTTCTGTGATTAAAGGCCTACACCACCACAGCCAGTTATAAAGTATAAAGTAGAATATTTGAAGTTATAGCATCACAGAAATTTTGTTAGAATTTGTATTTTTTTAAGCTTTTTTTGTACTCCCACTAATTTAGATTGTTATTAGATGTGTGTTAGGATTGTATTTTTAAAACATTAGCATGAACTGAATATTATCAGCCTTGAATCTGTAAACTTAAAAATTAGTGAATGAGGACAGTCAAATTCTACTTTTGAAAATAAAACTTGCTTTATATGGCTTGCGGTTTTCTACTATATGCAAAGAAGCTCCAGTCTGGTCCTCACTGGCTTTTCAAAGACAACTTGATTTCTTCCAGAAGTGTAAAAACTCAGCTTCCAAATCAATACAACCTGCTAAATGGTGATATGCCACTTTTAGAGAGCCTTATATTGCATGTGCATTCTCTAAATACAAAAGTGATCAGTAGCAGAATGCCTGTTGTATTTATGGCAAAGCTTTTCAGTTGACATTGAGCCTGTCATCATGCCATTCCTGTCTTCCTGGAGCCTTAGAACCCAGGAGTTAGTGTTTCTAATGCCTGTGCCTTTTTTTTTCTTTTTTTTTTTTCACTTCTTATTAGGGTCAGTATAGACCTTCTGATTTGCTGTGTCCTGAGACATATGTCTGGGTACCCATTGAGCAGTGCCTGCCTTCTCTGGACAACTCTAAGTATTGCCGTTTCAACCAGGACCCACAAGCAGGTATGTCTGAAGCAGCTGGACATCATTATTATCCTTTTTGTGGCTCTTCATGGTTTATACAATACATTGTGTAGTGTGTATGGATATGTACATGTGTGGGGGGGTGTTGGAGAGAGACAAGACAAACAGTTAAGAAGTTGTGTGTACTCTTGCTGCTTACTGCATGTGCTTCTCTTTTTTGTTTAGTTTTCACATGCTTTGAGAGCTGACATTTTAAACTTTCATTCCTTAACAATTATCACAATGTGAAAGTTGCCTACTAGTTTGTTTATTTGACCAATGAAAAGATAAGAACTATTGAGCAGTTGAACTAAATGAGGTTGTAGAACAGTAATTATTTTGTGAAGTTTTGGGGGTAGTACTTTCTTCTTCCATCTCTGATGAGTTTCCTTTTTCTATGTCCTCTTCCACTCCCTAGCTAGAATAGCCTTGGCCACATTTTGTTTGCTGTCCTTGTCTTTTGCATATTAGTCTATATTACTACAGATAGACACTAAAAGTGTCAGACTCCCTAAGTTAAGACCCTGACTTGGTGACCAACAGGCATAATGTGTACTCTTAGGCAATTCCAAGAAGTTGTCCTGCCCTCAGATTTTTTACTTATTATTAAGATAAAAATAGATGCCAAGTGTGGTGGCAAATGTCCAGAATCCCAGCAGTTCAGGGTCAGCCTCAGCTATATCAAAAGTTTGGAGTGAACCTGAGCAACATGAGACTCGGTAACAAAACAAAAGATAGTAGTAGGACACTCCCCCCACTTGATAAAAGTATATGTGTATATGAAAATGCCATAATAAAACTGTTATATATTATTAATATCTGTTAATAAAAATATAGTAAGACTTACCTTATTGAGTTTATAACAAGAGAGGAAAATCAGACCCAGATACTAAGAATTGCTCCTCAAACCAGGTGAGAGACAGAGGCAGGCAGGTCTCTGAGTTTGAGGCCAGCCTGCTCTACAGAGCGAGTTCTAGAATAGCTAGGGCTGCACAGAGAAACCTGGTCTTGAAAAACAAAATCTAAAACTAAAACAAAACAAAGCCTCCTATAGTTTTGGTTCTGTTACCCAAATTGAGATATTGCATCAGATTTGTGTCAGAGGCTTGTGTGAGGCATTTACTTCCATTTGCTCTGCCCCTTCTTAAAGAATACAGAAAACAAACAAATCATTGTGGTTTTGTTTACCTTTCTGGAGTCTGAATGCTACTCAGTGTTTAAAGTACCTGTTGGTATACGGGGCATCAGATCATGGCTTTGTTAAATCTACATAAGTTTGATGCTCTCAGGTGGCTTAGATTATGCTGCTGTGTGGCTTCCCCACAGCGAAGCCCTTTGGTGTTACAAATTGTGCTTACTTGCTTTGAGTCTTCATGGAGTCTACCACTGAAATGATGCCTAATATGTACTTCATTGGAATATAGAAGGAAAGAAATGCAAAGTCTGGCAGGAGGAATGAGTAAATGGCAGTCAGTGGAATGAGGGACGTGAGGATAGCAGTGTGCTCATTTCTTTCCATTTTTTCTCACTAGGCTTTATTTGTTTGTGGCTGTACGAAATTGGTTCATGAGTATATTTTATTGCCTTGAAAAGCTGATATGAAATCAAGAGTGCAATGTCTTACCCGTGGCAGTGCCTTAGAATCTTGTCTAGAACTCTGCCTAGAATTAGTGGCCACAGGAGAGCACAGCTGACTCATTTGCCAAAGCAAGACACTCTAGCTATTAGTATTTATTATTTAGGATTTATTTACCTGGTGTTGCCCCAGTTTTCTAGACAGAACTTAAATCCCACCCCTTGAGTTGATAATCAGAATGAGATTGTTTTATTCTAACTTACAGTTTACTGATTAAACAGATAATGTTACTTTAAAACAAACATGGGATTTGTCAGTTAGCTTTGGAGTCATGTCCATAGCCAGAGACAATCATGTTCAAGAGGAAAGACGGTACTTATCCACTGTCTCACAACTTAGAAAATATTTTTCCCTTTGCCTTCCTCCAAGTCAGTTTGGGTTCAGCCATCTTATACTGAAAACTGCTGGCCACTTTGTTAAATTACTCCTTATTCACTAATAGCAGTTTCTTCTTGTCTGAATAGTACTATGATCTTTAATTTCTTTCTGACTCTCAAACTTAAGATATAGTTTTACTTCCTCTCTTTCTTAAATCTAGTTTAAATTACTTGGAGAAGAAGCAAGAGACTATAAGTGCTCCATGTTTTGTGAGGTTGAAAAGATGACTGAGTCATTTCCACACATGGAATGAGTGTGGAAATAATCATTCAGTTTATAGATCTTAAAATTTCTTTCCAAAACAAATGTTACTAAGCATTTTGTAGCTGAAACAATTTAATCTTGCGTTGCCTACTGTTAATTAGAAGACACTCTATTCTGGTGAGTTTTGTTCACTTAGCATGTTATTTCCTGTATTCTGGGTTCTGTTCCTCAGGGCAGACCCTCTAGCTGTTACTCTTCATTGTTTAGAATTCACTTACAAAGTCAGAGTAAACTTTGAGAACAGTGCCTTCAAGCAAATGAAGATTTCCCATATGCTGAGTCTTTGGAACTTTGAAGAGAATATAGTATAGTTTTATCAATATTGGATATCACAGTCCAGACAGTTTTTGAAACCACACTTCTATCCTGTGGTTTTAGGAAATTAAAATGCAGTTAGATGCTGGGATGTATGGAGCCTGCTGTGAAACACGGTCATTGGAAGTTTAAATGGCAAACTGTTAGAAACTCTCTTCCTTTCAGGGGCAGTTCTACTTTGACATGACCCAAACTCTGGCTCAGACAAAAGCACAAAGCCTGTTGGGATCAATATTGCTAGCTGGCCTGGGTTTGTTTTGGTTTTTTTGTTTGTTTTTTCTTGTTTGCTTTGTGTTTTTTTTGTTGTTGTTGTTGTTTTTCCTTTTCTTTCCTGCTTTTTTTTTGTTTGTTTGATTTTTTTGTTTTATTTTGTTTTGTTTTGTTTTTAATCACCAAGTCTTTTTCTCACCACAGATGTTCTGTGGTTCAAGTGCCTTCAGAAGGTGCTTAAGCTGATCTCATCGTGCTCTGTGACAGTGGCTTCAAGGTGTATCAGTGGTCTCTAGTCAGAAAGATCTCATGTTTTCCCACCCTAAATACCCACCTCCAGTCTCCTTGGCAATCTCTGCTTTTCACCCTCTTCCTCTTCCTCTAGGATTTTATGATTGCAAGAATTGACTATTTTAACTTCTGAAACCTCTAAAGAAGTTTTTTTGTTGTTGTTTTTGTTGTAAATACTTTGTTTTCAGTTTAGAACAACTGTATTCCAATGAAATGAGTCTAGAAGCCTCTCAAATAACTTTTAAGGAGAATATATCCCATTGTTTTTAAAAATAGAAATTGACTATATTAGACTTAAAATATTTTAGTACAACAGTTACACTTTGCTTTCTTAAGCATTTATATATTATTGTGTATATGATGTGTATATAGGGGCATGGTACCATGGTATGTGTGTACAGGTCAGGGGACAACCTTATGGAGTCAGTTTTCTCTCTGTCCATCATTAGATAGGATCAGGCAATGAACTCAGGGTCAGGCTTGCATGGCAAGCACTTTACCAGCCAAGCCCTCTCACCAGCCCATATTTTACCTTAAATCATTCCTGTAAAAATATATTTTTTGGAGCCTTTGCAGAAATGTGGCCAGGTTGTGGACTGAGCATGTCACCCAGTGACAAATACTTACCTAGTATACACAAGGCCACAGGGTTAATTAGGGAGGGAATTAAGAAGATGCAGTCTTTGCTGCAGCAGCAGTGGTAATGTCTCGTGCTCTCTGCTGCTCTTTCTGAGGCGCATCCGTCTGAGAGTGCTTTATAAAGTAGAACAAGAGTCATATGTCATCATTCTGTGGTTGCTTGTACTGCTTTACTTTTGATTAAATAAAAGGCATTTTTTTTAAGGTAAAAACTACTTGACTGCTAATGTGACCATTAAGAAAATACTACAGGGGGTTGGGGAGTGAACAAAAATGAAAACAAATACTATTATCTGACAGGCACTGTCTAACATAGACACTTGTTAGACCTTGTGCACTTTGTTGAAACAGAAGACAGTATTTTGTAGTTGATTTTTAAGCTTTGATAGACTGTAACTCATAGTCTTGAGCAAACAATTTTGTATTACTCAATGGTATTATAGTCCTTGTTTCAGTGTTTTTTACAGTGAAATTTTATTGAAAATAAAATATATTATTTCTCAAGCACCATCCTGTTTGTCCCCATGTTACTCATTTTATCCTCAAACATAACATTTTATACTGACTGCTCAATGTTTGTTGTAAAAACACAGCTAATCTTTTTTTTCAAAGAATGATAACAAATTTTATTCTAGTTTTGCTCTGTACTTTTTGAAGTACTTATTTTTAGAAATTGAATAATTTTTATTTCTGTTTTCACTTATAATTACAGTAATGTATACCTTTTACCATAGATTAGTCTAGGTTTTGTTTGGTTCAGTACAGACTTTGGAATGTTTGCAAGAAATTTTCCAGTTTGTTCCTAATGTGACCAAGCCATACACCATTGCTTTTGAATTTGTTTGCTATGAAAATAATGATAATTTGGACCAAGTGCTTTGTGTATTTTCTAGGGCAGATGATTTCTAGCACACCTTGACTCTTCTCAAAGTTGCTGAAACAACTAAGGAAAAGCTCAGTCCTAGTGTGGCCCCTGAAGCCCCAACGCTCCAATCAGGGTTCTTTCAAAGGGTCTCCTTTTCTTTTTACTCCATTCTGTTCTCTTCCTGGCACAGTTCACTGGCATTTTCTGATACTTTTGTAGTTTATCTAGCTTATGTCTATTGAAAACCCATACTCACTCAGATGGAATGTCTGGAAGAAAGCTCTCTGTCCTGTATTCACTGATCTGGCATGACTCCCTGACATTGTGTTTATGTTCCCTCAGAAGAGTATATGGAGCTAACACATCTTCTTAATCACTAGGAAACAACACCTAACAAAAGGG